ACTCAGGGTGAAAAAATTGCTGTGTTATTTTTTTTCTATCCCAGTTTCCTAAAGTCTATTATACATCAGAGCAAGAGAAACCGCTGTACTTACAATGCTTCTTACCATGACGTCACACATTAGTACCTATGGCGGCCGGTGGTGCCACATTGTCAGTTAGGAGCCCAGGAAAACTGGGATTTCAAACTAGTGTCAATAATTATAGACTGCATATTCTACCGAAATATTTTGTAATCGGCTTGTCTAACCATTATTGAAGCAAGGAAAATTGCAACCGGGCTTCCTTATTTTCTTTTCACGACCCCTTTAGGGCACAGTGCGTTCATCGGGATAATTAATGCCTGTAGCCCAGTCTAGATGTCCGCGATGTCATGGGATTAAAAAGTGACTTGATAAATGCGTTGTATAACTGTAATGCATGCAATTATCAGTCTTCCAGCCTTGTTTTTAAACGCATTACTTTTTCTTTGCAGAAATCTATGCTGAGGGGAACCAAAGATTCCTGTCCACACTAGCAGATTTCGCAAAGCTCTCATACTTCACATGAGTGAAAGTGCCCGCTTTCAGAAGAGAGGAAGGAACCCACTAACCGGGCGGTGCTTGAACGTGTATTTTCTTGCGCTGACCTGTATAAACAAATGACTGTATAAGCCAACAGCCTGAGCGAATTGAGGTGCCACTCCTGGTTTGAGAAGCAACGCACGATGTTATCGTTGAAGATCCTTTCTATAAGCCATTTTAAGCATAAATACTCAAGAATATATCATATTTAATTCCTACAGCTGGCGTTTACAAGCAGAAGATTGCTCCAGCAGGTTTTCAACTTGCATAAGGAACGTCAGCCGACCATCTCTTGCGTATGAACACCTTCATGCGATATGGACTCCGCCTCACGTATTGAGACATATATTATTATTGAAAGGCAGATAATTTAGCCGACGTGTGTAAGTCATTGCCTTGCTACTCTGCGTGGGGAAGGGGATTGGGGACTGAAACACATAAAGAGAGAAAGAGGAAAAATATAGAAAAGGTAATATATAATAAAGAAGAGTTGAATATACAGGCTGAGTTTTTTGTCTCTTGGGCGGGGACGTGTGCCGCCACGTATTGAGTGACATTTGTGCGACGCCTTCATGATAGTAGACGGGCGCATGAATAATTATGGAACTGTATAGCACACCCATGACAGACCGATCAACAGCACGCCCGATGTAAAAACAGCGTGCAAATATAACGCTGAATCATTGACATAACGTGATCACCTTGTCTCCACGGCCAACTATCAGTCTCTCGAGTGGTTGCACCAACCCAGTGAATACAATGCTTGCACAGGCACTCTAAGAAGTGCGTAATATAAGCTTTCAATGGGGACTGCATTATTCAATGGTGGCAAAACACGTTCCGCAAAAAAAAAAAAACGTGTCACCACCTTACTGCCTTTGAAAACTTTCACTGAACCCGATTGTAAAGAGTTGCCGTCTATTGTTTGCTTTTCTGCCGGCCGCAATATCGGTGCCGCGCGGCAGTTTGGTCAAGCGGAGCACACCAGTCGGTGCATCGCGGCACGCGTTCTTTGCCGATGCCCCGTTCCACTTTTTTGTTCCACGCGGAAGAAGTTTCCCCGTACGCCACAAAACGACGCCGCCGCGAAGATCGTGCCCGCGGCGGAGGTCGCTCGGTTCACGTCAACGCGCGCTCGACCTGCCAAAGCGACGACCGCGCGACCCACTTGTCCGGCGCGTTCAGTAATTGCCAGCGCGGCCGCGGGCCGACCCCTGGGTGCATCAGCGTGTCCTCCGAGGCGTCGTCCGTCATCAGCGGCTTCGTGATCGTCTTGACGATGGCCGGCGCTTTGGACACTTTCTCGACGCACGCGAAAGCGCCGGTGCTTAGCTGAGGGCGAACTGCACGATTTTGCTGTTGTGCGAGGCCGGGAGGGGGGTCGCTCTTTTTTTCTTTTTCTTCGGCATCGGGTGCATTATACGACACGAGTACCTGCGCCCCATCAAGCGTAATCGACTGCTGGAACGGAAATATCTCCCAAACGACCCTGTTATGAATCGTAGCGCGCGAAGCTCGTTTGGCTGACCGTCCGGCGGAAATGGTTTCGTTTTTATCCTATAAAACAGAATCAGACCTTCGCTGCACGAAGTGTTCCTTTCGCCCCTGCGTCGGAGTTTAACGGTGGCCTCGATTGGGAGCGACCCTTGTTAAGGCCATGTATCATGTCTTTCGCGAGTTGTGTAGCACGTTAAACATCAATGCGCGGCCAGTCGTTTCTCCGACCTCTTGATGTCTTTTTCAATGAGAATGGACTGTTCCGTCCTCTTCACGATTATGCTTTGTTGTTTTTTTCTGCCGCTTTATAGCTCGGTGCACATCCATTATCCATTAGGAGGAAGAGCCGCCGATCGAGACTCGAGTAATCAGCGTGTTTATGAGAAACGGGAAGAATGTCCTGTGAAGCAGCGATATGGTTCTACACAATGCACTTTCATTAGTAATCAGTCGGAGAAAGCACTCTATTTGTAATCAGCAAATGATAGCGCAATAATTCGCTAATTACCCCAACGGTGGCCTACAGTCTAGACTAAATATATGCAGGCGAGCAACGTTCATATATATTGAGAGTGTGGCATAAGGATTAATGATGCGAGATCGGCAGTGTGATCGCTAATGGCATGGTTAATCGCTCAGCGGTATGCGTGACAATAGTAGGGTGATATGTCTTGAACATTGGTTTCAACTGCACTGTTGTGCATATACTTGCCACAAGTTCACGATATATAAAATATAGCGGGTGTGTCCGTAATACCAATGCTACTTGATGTCAGCTGTTTAAAATGCGCCTCATCTGTCCTCTGTGGCAGCGCATTCACCAGTTGACCTCCTATTGAATAATTCTCGGTTTCTAATCCCAATTCCCTTATCCCCAGTGCAGAATAACAAAACAAACTCTCGTCCTGTTGACATTTTTCTCTTTTTGCTCTCTTTCCCACCCTCAAACGATACGTGGTCGTCATTTTAATGAAGCATATAACACTTTGAAGGGATAAATTTTGGCTTACTTTCTATGTTATGTTGTATAAAAGTTTTCTTACTCAAATAAAGCAGCTTATCACTTTGGAACGTCGTTTTATGCCCAGTGCTGCTAAGAGAAAAAGGATGAGAATGTAGGAGGAATGCGGAAAAAATGTGTAAATAACTCAAAGCCAAAGGCGACTATTCTTGATGTGTTCGTGTTTTTTTTTTTTTATTGAAGGTAGGTAGAATTATATATAGTTTTCGCTGTTAAAAAGCACATTTTGCGACAAGTGGTTATTCAGATATAAAAAATCAAACATGACACGCGTACATTTCTGCCTGCACTCAACACTGTTTGCAGGAACCAACGTTTTCTTTCAACACTTGCATTACCCTCCGAATGATTTGCCAATGGAATAAAGTGCTTCTTGAAAGAGTATGCACGTGATTTTTGGCATTTTCTTGCCCGCTTAGAAATTTTCCTTTCAATGAGCTTGGCCTAGCACCGAGTGTCGTTGTTAGCAATCTTAAACTTCTCAAGAATATTTGTTGTCTGTCTTTATTATTACCTCATTTTTCAAAACGCTGTTCTCTTCGAGTGTGTGGAATGGGCTGTTATCAATATGCATTCAGTCTGTACATTTACTTTCTGTTTTGAACGCTGTTTTTCCTCCACATCTACCACGACCATACAGGGCACTGTAAAGAAACAAACAAACAAATAATTTACAAAATGAATGCGTATATTGGAGCAGCAGCATGGGGTCGGAAGCCGTATTAGCTTAATTCACTTCCTACTGATTAACGCTGTCTTGATGCATGTGTGTTACATCTAAATTCCAGCGAAGCTTCAGGCTGGACGCATTATTAGCAAACACGTCAATCAATGACAAAAAGTCTCTTACGAAAGAAAACGTTTGAGATTTTGACCCCACTTTAAATATAAGAAGGTCCATATTAAACTTTTAATCTGTAAGCTGGCACTTGTAGAAAAACATCTGATGTGACACGCTGTGCTCTGAGGCATTTGATGCAGGAACATTGCTGTATGACCGTAACTCTCGCAACTCGTGCGCATGCATTCTTTCCCCAGCTTTCCTCCGAGGAACGCCACAGCGTTCCTTAGAGGATTGTATGCACAGGAGACACATCGTCATTGCGAATTAAATTACTTACCCCTCAAGGATGATTACGTTTAATCACGTACGACGAAGTTGAGGCCCAAAGGGCGCCATAATTTTAAAGAGCGTCAAGTATACGCAGTAACGGACTCCTGGAACTCAAGCAAGGCAAGGCTACGCGAGCGCTCCCCAGGTGGGACATTCTCAGACCCGTTTGGCCACTCCCACAACGTTCGCGCGTCCTCCGTGGTGTCGTCGTCGCGTGCCGGGCCGCTTCGCGATTAAATGTCACCGGGTGAGCGACGTGCCGCTGGCCAACTTTAACGGCGTCTGGAGCGTTCCCTTTTGACGTGACACTTGATTACGAAATAGAAAAAAATATATAGAGAGAAAGGAGGTGAGTACAGCGAAGCCACCCAACGCTGTCCAGAGGGGGCCCCGACAAGAAGAAGAAAGGAAAATGAAACGGCGGCCGCGGCCCCTCGCGCGCGATGGTCTGCACTCTCCCGGAGGTAATGCGGCGGACGGCATTGAGACGGATCATTCAGGCATCGTGCTCCTCCGCTGGCGGTTGATGGCGATTCGCGGCCGATAGCGGCGAAAACAAGGCTCACTGGCTTCCTCGCGTCCTTGCATCCAGTATTTCCAGAGCCGCTATGGGCCGTTGGAAGGCAGTTAAAAACGCATAACGGGTTGACAACGGCCAGTTCTCCCAAATGTTCTTTTTCCCCCGTGGCGGCCTGCGCGCTATCCTCCGCGTACAAATACGACGCACGCATCTCAACTGCTGCCGGTGGAAGATGCCTGCGAATAACGAGTCTTTGTTCATTGTTTTCTTTTTTCTGTGCTCCTCAGATCCTCGCTGCACTTCTCGGCGGCGGCCGCCGCGGTATGGATTCTTGCGCACCGGCCTGCAACTGTCAGGGGCAGGCGAAGAAGAAGGGCCGCCTTTGTTTGGCAGCCAAACCAAGGACTCCCTCCGGCATCTTACTGGGACACAGGGCGCGCTGGTGCTGGCATGGCAGGGCCGCGCATCTTCCGCACTTTGGCGCTGCTGCATGCGACGCTGCCGTGACGCAATGGCGGCTGCCCGGGTGTAGTTGTTGCGACACGTAGTGGTGAACGCTACGTTGCTCGCAAGAGGCCAAGAGCAGGTTGCACCTCGATGGTCCCATGAAGCAAATCGGGTGCTGGAAGGCCCTCGTTAAAGAAGACAACACGGATCAGAACACAACGTTTAATATAGGGTGGTCTATTTTACGTTCTTTTATAGTGGTATTTATTTACCTGTGATTTCGTAGCTGTTTTCGCTGCCATGCAGGCACCATGTCTCGAATACCTTGCAGCTTTCTACGCACTCTGCACGGACCAACTGGCAGACGACGCGTCGCTCGATTATCCTTGATCTTCATCTGCAAAAGGAGGAAAGAGAATTGTCAAACACTCATTTCTCGTTCTTTTTAATCATCTGCCGTGGAGATACTTACACATAAATACTTCAGCCCCACCATTTGAACGAGATGCACACGGCAAAAAAGAAAAATAAATATAAGAAAATGATAAAGGGAACAGGTTGGACAGTAGTGGAACAGCCTTTTGGGCTAGTTGGTATGAACGGTTCATTGGGAACGCGAAGAGGGGGGCGCAGTATGGAACAGGGACTCGTAATGCACCCCACTTTTTGCATTCAGAATAATTGAACAGTAACAAGAAATAAAAAAATTAAAAAGTGAGAAATGCTCCTATCCAACATAGCTGGGGCATTCTGCTTTTATTTATATAACTCTAATCCTGTCGGGGCAAGTTTTGATGACAGTGCCAGACTTCATGGCACAGTCCACATGTTTTAGTTTTTTGTCTTGTTTTGCTACTGTAGCCTTTTAAATCGTCATTTGTGATTTTCTGCCTATCATGTAATCAAAAAGATAACGCAGCACACACGTAAACAGCGTTGTCTACTAGAACACGAATGCCTCACTTCTGTGCATAATAGCGGCGTGTTGTTGATCATTCGCGAGAAAAATGTGGCATGATGATTCTCTTCTCTTTTTTTCCCCTTAGTTAACTCGGCCTCGTTTCGTAGAACTATGACGGTCCTCTTCGCACATTCAAGTGAAACTGTCAGAAAGTCGGAAGAACCTTAAAAGAATTTTATGCTTTAGCACCACAAGATGCCTCGCAGGTTCCTACGTTGGAGACTAAGTCATCTTTTTCTGAGAGTATACATAAAGCAAGCTCACTACAGTGCTGTCCTCCTTATATAGTATGTGAAGCCTGTAAAAAAATGTGGACGTACCGACAAGTTTTTTCCAGTACAGAAAATGACCACGGATACTTCGCTGGTACGTACACACTACTCGAGCGTAAGTCGCGTGAAGCGCAATGGCATACGACTTGCCTACAATTGTCCCCGTGTGCGGCCTGAATAGAGAGATCTACCGTTCACGTATGGGAATAGACCGTACGAAATAAATGCATGACTCTGATTACGTGTCTAGGAGAGCGCACCCTGATTCAAAATTGAAGGAAATAGTCTGGAGAAGTGCCATGTATAAAAAAGTCCTTTTTTCCCAGTACAATTACAGCATGCAATAGGCTGTCATCAGACATTGCGAGAATAAATTCCAATGCAGCGTTTGTCCGGCGCTCAATGATGTTATTGTATAAGTATAACCCTGTTGTGTTGTACTGGTATATATATAGTTATGATTGTGTTTCTTTGTTTACGCATGTAACCTGTATTTTTGTATTACATACTTTATGTATCCCCCTCCTGTAATGCCCATGAAGGTGCTGTGGGTATTTGACAAACAAATAAATAAATAAATAAATAAATAAATGAATAAATAAATAAATAAATAAATAAATAAATAAATAAATAAATAAATAAATAAATATGTCAGATGGCTGAGACCTTATTCCTATAGTATGCGCATTCAGCAACGTGAATACTGTGAGTGTTCGTATGCTTATTCCATTATATGGATCACATTTTCAAAGAGTGGAGCCACTCTTTAAGCCTTTCGTTGCACCGGGCAGTGCAGACAGTAATTATGATCTTCACAAACCGGTACGCGCTTGCTTCAACATCTTTAACCTCTGCTTCGATCCCACAACACTTGCACCGCCTTTTCCGGCGAGGCGTGCAAAAACTACAGGAGGCGAAGCTAAGAATCACTTATCACGTTATATGACTAAGAATCACTTAACATCACATCACTACAATTCACGTAACATCACGCAACATCTATAGTCACGTGGCTCAAATCACGTAACACAACATCACGGGGGCTGAAAATTACGCATAGCACTCGCGTACGTGACTAAAATCACGCAATGTCACCTAAGTAGTCACGTGACTAGAACTATGATTACGTAACTACACACTGGCGTGGCTACGAATAACGTAACATTTAGCCACTTTGCTAAAACCACGCAACATCGCGGGGAAGAAAAACTTGGAGGACGTTTGAGCTTCGCTCTCAAGATTGATCGCTATAGCGTAATATATCGCTATAGCGTAATCTATCGCTATAGCGTAATCTATCGCTATAGCGTAATCTAGCGTGATCGCTATAGCGCGGCACGGCCGTGTGCACGACCGTGCCGCGAGAAAAGAAACGTTTGTGTGCGTAACATTCACCATTTCAAACTATTTTAATGTCTCTACAGTTGCTATAAGTGCCCACTACGCCGTAGTTCTTCATTTTTTTTCTAATCGGTGAGGTACCGTCCATAAGGTGCCACGCGCACTTGCGTAGCTGCAGACTTTGGGGTGGATGGGCAGCTTAAAGCTACCCGCTCGTTGCGCACTTCACTTCTTTAGAAGCTCCATGCAATTCGAAGATTTAGACGCAATAATACATGTGCCAAAGAGTCTATACTTCTACTACATGACATTCATATGTGGTGTTTTTTTTTCAAATTAATTTCAAGCAACGACGTGGCTTTGAGGGAAACATTTGCTTGCCACGCAGACGGCTGGGGTTCGATTTCCATTTCGAACCAAAAAATTTTAACATATATTCATTTGCATCCTGCTCGATTTTTCAGTCACGGTCTAGATGATGATGTCTCGCTTGCAGCCAACAACGCCGACGCCAGAATTTCCACGAAACGAGCTCTTTAACGCTATCACGTTAAAAAGGCCCCTTCGTTTTGCGTGGCCAGAGAGAAATTTAGTTAGGAAGTACGCAGAAGTATAAGGAAGATCTCGTGAATGATTGCGACCTTCTGGCGTTTTCTTAACGTTTTCAAATGCGCGGTATACGATTGGTTTTCGCATACAGCCCTTATTTTAATGTGGCCTTCAATGGCAGATAATCGAACCGGTGACATCGTGCTCATCAACACAACGTGACAGCCACCGGGCTAACACTGAGGGTTAAATTCGGAAATATTTGGCAGCTGAATAAATACTTCGATACAGCGCTTCTTTTTTCGAGTATTCGTACCAACATAGAAAATTTCAGCCACATTGCAACACCGCTGATATCACGCGAGCATGCAGGTGACTATCTTGTGCGCAGGACGGCAGAACGTGCGAACTTGATGATCATCATCAGATATGGCGGGTGACCACGATAGGAGCCAAGAATCGGTTGGGGAAGAGAATTGGAATGAAAGAAGTTGTAACGTGTGTTAGAGTATACCAATGTCATCACCCGGCTTCAGCTTGATTGTTCTCCTATATCATCATAAGATTTAATTAGTGTTGAGCAATGTGGCGCTAAGCAAGGTAACAGGCGCACGCCCGTGCCACTATACGGTACGTGCTCTGCCTAAACCATCCACTTGGATTTTCGTCGTAGTGAGGAGACATTATAGGGTGCATCCACTGCGACTGTCCTTGCTACTAAGTGCAGCGACAATCACTCGCAATAGGTGCTCCAGCTAGCACAGGCGCCAGACCAGTGACGGCGGTAACCATTATGGAAAGCCGTCCTGGAAGGTCACAGTGGATGAAGGCGGTGAAGTCATTGATAAATTCTTGAAAACTACTGACTTGCAGGTCGGTCAGAGAGCGTAATCATAACTGTTAGGAATGTGACTATGTCTTTACTATACCCCTCTTCCTCTCTTCTCTGCGGCCTCTAACCTTCAGACTCCCCCATCATTTTCCCCAGTACAGGGTAGAGTACTAGCTTTTCTAGTCTGGTTAACATCCCTGCCGATCCTCTCTATTGTGATCCTTCCTTGCAGCTCTACGACGATACCGCGAAAGATTACAACACGTCTACTCGGTTCACTCAAAAGCACACATCGAAAAAGTCACGCTATGACCCACGCTGAAACAAACCCTCTTGCTTGTAGGTCTATTGCCTGCAAAGGGTTATTTCATCATCCTCCTCATCATCATCATCACCACTATTATTATTATTATTATTATTATTATTATTATTATTATTATTATTATTATTATTATTATTTTCCTGCTGGGCGTGAATGGAGTAGGTCTCGGATGATGTCGTCGATACAGCTATAGTACCTTCATTTATATTGAAACTGACAGAATTTTAAAATTATTGTTATGTTGTTCTCACGTTTGCTCGTAAACGCTTTTTGGTTTTTTTTATATGCTATCTCACTACCACTTACGGCTATATTGTAAGGTCATCAGGAATATTGTCAATGAAAAATGAATAAATAAATAAATAAATAAATAAATAAATTTGCTACATCATAAAGTACCAACCACACTTTATGATGTAACGGGACACGCTAAGTGGTGAGCGGCACCGGTCAGTACTTGGCTCCCGTTGAGATCGTTCTGTGGGGTGATAGGTGTTCCTCTGCTGCTGTTCTTCCCTTCGAGACATTTTGAGAACAGGTGTGCTTCGCCAACACGTTTCGACTGGTTTTGCTGGGCCACAGCGCATGCATCCCGCAGTGACCCGAAAGTTTTTGTGTTGTGGCAGTCGTAACTGTCGTGCAGCTTTGCCAAGCTTCCCTTCAATAATTCTCCAACAGGCTGCTCCTTTTAAAACAATTCAGTCGAAATGAAAGATCTTTGAAAGCGGTCTTCAAGTTTCATCACTGGATGATTTTTTGTTGTTCAAAATGTTCGAGTTAGAAACTGTCTCTGAAGTCTAGAGTTATTTCGATATATACGTACCATCGGAGCAATGGTGCACTCACTTTAATAGTGATTTGAGGAAACAATTTCGATCATCGTTCTGTTCTGTTGTGCATTAGTTGCTCTAGGAAGAACGAAGTTGAAATACTATGGCTGTTCA